CATCCCCTCCCCTCCCCTCCCCTCCCCGCCACGGCGTCGGCTCAAAAACAAGGGCAGGCCTGCGCGCGCGTCGCCGCCGCCGCCGCCGCCGCCGGAGGAAACGGCCGAGGGCAACGCATTGTGTGTACACAAACCCCGCACCCAAACAAAGCGGTCTGGCCGGAAGGCGCCAGGTGAGACGACGACGACGACGACGACGTCGGCGGAGGAGGAAGAGGAGGAAAGGGGAGGGGGAGGGGATAAGAACGCGCGTCAAAGAAAGATGGAGCGGTTTCGAAGGAATTAAGGGCTCGCGTGGCAACGCTGGAATTATTTAACAGGGTAAGCGGTAACGGGGCAGGAAATTTACACATGCATAGTTCATACAAAATTAAAAAAAAATAGAGCAGTGGAGCAGGGGTGGATAAAGAGACGTATTTTGGGAGGGGTAATTCAAAATGAAAAGGTCGAAATGTCATATTACAGATTTTGTAAAACGTCGTAACCTATAGGTTACGCTGCAATACGATTTTATTCGTTTTAATTATTAGCAGTAAATATTTTTACTTGGAAGTTTCGTGCTAACTTAAAATTAACAGTTACTGAACAATTTTAGGGGGGGGGGCATATTTACCCCATTTCCGTTCCCGTGAATCCGCGCCTGAGTAGAGATTCACAAGAAGAAACTAAAAAAAGCTATCATATGACGTATTTCACAAATTATGAAGGAGGTACGAAACGTTAATTGAAATATACTAGCCCATGTTTTACATGAAGCAATTAGGGAAATCGTAAAACATTTTCTCACAAAAGAAAGAAACAACGTTACAAAAAATAATTTAAGTGCATAGATTGAATTTTTTCGAAATACCTACCAAAGAAATATCAATTGACAGAGTAAATTTGGAAAATTGCTATGTTTATAAAATTTGTTCGCTTAACTCTGCATCCTAAATGAAAATAATAAAATTGTATGGATCCACATTTTAAGCGAATGTTTGATGATAGCAATTATTTGAGAACGCAGCAAAGTTTTATAAGACTACTTTAAAGAAGAAAAACTCTATTTTTTGCATGCGAGGCGTTGAAATCCAGATTTACTAAGTTTTAATCAAAATTCTGTAAATTTAGTAGTATTGTGCGGACTCAAAATCTGGAAGTTGAAAACAACAGCATAGGCGCAGGTGCATTGCGCCGAGTTCCCTCACAAATTTTCCATCCTCTTCCCCGCTCTGAATGCAGCACGTGCCTTTGCTCTTATTAGTTCTCGGTGTTCCAAGCGATCACCTTCCGGAAACTCAGAAAGACGAGGGAGTCGCGTTCAGAAGAGGAAGGTCGAGACGAGAGGAAGGAAAGTAAGGGAAGACGGCTCGAGAACAGGGGCGACGCGATCGATGCCGACCCGTCCGTGCTGCCGCCG